GGCGCTCTGTGTGTGTGTGTGTGTGTGTGTGTGTGTGTGTGTTGAAAGTTTGATTCAAACGACCGTACACACCGTTGTTTCCCACGATTCACACAGGAGGAGTGTACAACAAAAGGGCTGGACGATTCTAATCGACCATAGTTATGTACAAAGAAAAATCGACAAATTATTATGTAGAGGGATGTTAATTTGAACTACAAAGGCAATGACCTAGCCTCACTGTGTTCTTTATACAGACTTTATTAATGACGTTTCGATTACTTGTCTATGCTCTTATTTTTTCGTCACCCATTGAGACGGGCAAACCCCTTTAGTGCGCATGAGTGAAAGTAATGACGTTTGATGTACCTCTGTCGACTATCAGGTTAGCAATAGACGCACCAAGTAATGTCTCCGGACGGCGACCAAATCGATGCGTTCTCTGTGCCTTTGTTGAGTCTCTTTATCATTTGTCGTGTGCAAACCCCCTTGATGGTGCGATTTTTAAGTCAAGGAACTGTTTATTAAGACCGTACGTAGACTGACGCGTGGTCGTAAGGATGTTTGAAGTGTGTGTGTGTGTGTGTGTGTGTGTGTGTGTGTGTGTGTGTGTGTGTGTGTGTGTGTGTGTGTGTGTGTGTGTGTGTGTGTGTGTGTGTGTGTGTGTTCTCAGTCTAGACTTGGCTCAGTTATTGGCATGCCATTCAGCCAACAGCCCACTATAGGCTGCTTAGACACTGTGCTGCACTTCAGAGGAAACATGGGTGGTCAAAACTGAGCAAAGCTGTGTTCACCTGTGTGGAATTATGGCCCATAGCAATGTATTATGATGTGGTTTGTATTTCATCTCTTGAATTTTATCCAGAGCGTGCAGCTACATGCCGCTGCATTCCCAGAGAGAGAAACAATGCTGATCCGGGCTCCACTAACACCTTATAATTGTAATTGAGTCCTAATGCTTAATATACTCAACTTTAAGGGGATACCACCCGTGGGTGCAATGTTCACTTATCTACTGGAAGGCTTGCAGTTCTGAGCAATGCCATTTCAAGCTTGAAACATTGTTGAACACTTTTTTAAGTGAATATAAGGACTTTTTTAGATTAGTCTGCGGCTTTATAATATAAATAGTTCACAAAGTCACATTTCTAGCCTGAGGTGTAGTGTGCTGAGAAGAAGCTTACACTGTATGCAATACAACGGAATAAACCTTTGAGTCAATTCAAAAAATGCAAAGGCAACTATTGTTTATCATTTGATAATCCAAAATGCCAAACGTTGTTGGTGCCTTTGAAATAGCTGCTGCTAAATGTGTTTAACATGTAGTCAACTGAACATCTTTGGGTATTTGTTTGCTGTTGTTAAAAAAGACACTGAAGACATCACACAATACTCAATTGTATATAACAAATCAAACAGTTTATTGACTTACAGTGAATATAAATGATTAGCAAGTAATCAATAATGAAATGTATTGGTTAGTAGCAGCCCTAAAGTGTTTGCTTCTACAGTATATGTACCGATAACTCAAATCAGTGTTCTGTACTGATTCACTTTGAAAAATCTAGGTAACTAATTTCAAAGATTTCATTTTCTTCATGGAGTTTTTATTTTGAGAAGCTTTCAAGTGAGAGACACAACAGCTGTTGCCCCATAGGATGGATGAAACACCTGCTGACGTACATGAAGAGATCATTATTCATAGTTCAGCTAGTTCTAAGTTGACCAGAGCCGTGTGAGCTCCACGCCTGACTGAAGTTCTTCGGAAAGTGGTGAGCAATAATATTCAAATATTCAAATCTATTTGTAGTTCATTTGTCTGAAATGGAAATCTTAGTTCCTCAAATATCTTTGCCACTAACCCCTACAGCGAGATATTTCCATTATTGTGCAGGACAAATATAAGAGGGTGGTTTTAATGGAAGCTGAAGCAGGATGAAACTAAAATGGAGTGTGTAGAGTTCTGCAGTCAGCTATGAATTATTAACTAGAGTCTAATATTGACCATAGAAATAGAGCAGCTAAAAGCAACATTGGAGCAAAGTGACATAATTTCCCTGTGTGGGCTGTTCTGCAGGAGTGTGGTGACGGGGATTCACCTTCCTCTAAAAAAGCACACAGACTGACACCTCCTGTTCCTGCTGTGAAAACCTTTCATTCCGTCAAGAGAAAGTCACCGTCACGTAGAAATGTCGTACTGACAGGAAGTGGCGCTCTGTGTGTGTGTGTGTGTGTGTGTGTGTGTGTGTGTGTGTGTGTGTGTGTGTGTGTGTGTGTGTGTGTGTGTGTGTGTGTGCGTGCGTGCGTGCGTGCGTGCGCTCTGAGGGAACAGCTCTCTGGAAGCTGTGTGGAGGAAACATCCTTCTTACACCTGATCACTTAATCCTTATTCTAGCTTCCCATGTGAAATACACTTTCCTCGTCATAGAGGGTAACCCAAGAAAGGCCAGAAGACTTCTTTATTTGTAGGCCTTTGGATACAAAGGCTTCACAGTGACGTAGACTGATGAAGGCCCACATTGCCCTGTCCAGGTATTTGTGGAGCTGAAAAGCTGCCTTTGTGCTGCCCTCCCAACTCATCCGTGAACGTGCTTGTTAGAAATATTCCTTTTCCCTGCTGAGAGGATTTGATTAAAGAATTTTCCATGTTGGTTCTGAACAGCATTTTCATTGTTTTTGAGAAGCTTTCACTAAAAGCTGTTTTGCTTTTATCGGGGATGAAGTGGAGGGTAAACACACCAAAAGTCACTTTTTATTTGGTATGGCTCGGCTGGATGAAAATATATAAAGAATCTTCCGAATGACCGTTTACCTCCTTTAAATGATAATGATGTCAATATCACCTATTTTGACTTCCTTCATTAACATGTCCAATCTTGGTCATACTCACACACCAGAACACACTCGTTGGCTGGAGGATGTGGCTTTCTGGGCGTCTCTGCAGAGGGTGATTTGGTGATATGTAGGAAGTGGATAGAATGAGGTGATATCATATATTGAAGCATGTTTCTCCTTTCTGTGACAGACATCATCAGCTCTGAACCTGTGGAGGACATAGACACCACCAGCTTCGTGGCAGAGTTTGTAAGTTTCTTTATTTCTTCCTCCACTCGTGTTTGTTTAACTGGCTCATTGTCTTGACTTGTCTTCCATTCAGTTTGCTTTGCGCTCATTTCTCATTGTTTTACCTCAGAAAGCAGAGTCTAACAGTAATCTGCTTACAAATGTACCATAACAGAACACACTGCTGTGATTGCTGGCGCCCAAGGCTGACTGCAGAACAGGTTTCAGCAGGCTGTTTCCTCTCTTTGCACACAGTCCTTTTCTCCCACAGCACATCTTGAATGTTGCCTCAGTCTTAACACACTGAAAGTAAAGCTCCCCAGAAAAAGCTTAACAGAGAAGACCACGGTTTAGTTTGTTGAGGTTTAACTCTGTTCACTTCTAATATGATGTTGTCTGCTCTTGTCTCTCCCACAGTCCCTGGAGGCCAATTATCCAGTGCAGGTGACCGATCCTAATGGTAAATAAGTCAAACCACAATGGTCCAGTTAAATTATGGTCATAGTATTTATATGTATATACTGTAACTTCTGAAATAAAAGGCAGATTCACCAGCACAAACAAATAAAGGCATGGTAAAAAAGATAGGATGGAGGGACCTGAACTGAAGGTGGGATATGTAATTTATTTCAGAAACACTTTTTGTTATATTCCATGGAATGCTCTTAACATCCCGATAGCAATGAATATCTTAAGTGCTTTGAGTATAAATACATAAAAAAAAGTCATCTGTGGAAGCCGTAATACTGTAAAAAGCACGACCAATCATTTTAGCCGGCCCGGCTAAAGTAACTGGATGGCCTACCTGCCTGTCAGCCTTCCATCTGTGCACAAACTTATCTCGTGCCCTCATTGGTTATGTGCGCGTTCGTGTGTGTTGGAGAAGGGGCTCTGTAAGGAAGTGGCAGATTTTTTCCGGCTGTGTATTTTCAAATTCTAGCGCACTCGATCTGCTTTCTCCAAAATTACCTACCCCACCTTTAAGTAGCTCAGGATACATCTTGAATAATGTATTTCCACAGCACTTACTCCATCAGGACATCCGTCTGTCTATTAGTTTCAGCTTCGTTTTGGCAGTCATTGTGAAGTTGCTGTCGATGAAACAGATGTTACTGTAAAGCCCATCAAGAACAGTGGACATGTAGCCCATTGAGCCACACATTTGATGGCTTCTGATGTGAAACATGTTACGCTTCGTTAATGAGAGCTGATCCTAGTGCTTCGGCAGCCAGGTCACCTGCATGGCCCAAACAAACTATTTTAATTAGGTAATTACAATTGAAATAGAAAATGTGACACTATACTTGACATGGAGGCAGTGTTTAATTTGCATCCGATACTAACTGAAATAGGGAAAAAAAACCTGTTAAACCATGAGAATTTACAATACATATTTAACTGTCTTCTGTTATACACTACCATTCAAATTCAAAAGTTTGGACACACCTTCTCATTCGAAGTTTTTTATTTGTTTATCATTTGTTCTACATTGTAGATTTATACTGAAGACATCAAAACTATAAAAGAACACATATGGAATGATCTAGTTAACAAAAAAGTGTTAAAAAAAATCCAGAATATGATTTATAATTTAGATTCTTCAAAGTAGCCCCTACTGCAGAATGCTGTGGTAGCCATGCACAGATTCACCAGCAAAGCCCCCCCCCCCCACCATCANTTCAAAGTAACGTCAACGTAGCTGTATTTTATGCTTTGCTTACATGTTCGCATATCTTGGAAGTTTACTGACATTTACATACCTTGTTTACCTGTCAGCCAATAAGACAGATGTTTATTTCCATTCAACTCTCTTGTTGATCTGGTGTCTTGCCTCTATTGCATTCACTGAACACGGGAAATTACAATCCTGCCGTCCTCTCTAGTGTCATGATGAGGTTCAGGTAAAGCACGGTGAATGTATTATGATTGACTCAATAATATGATACATGACTTTGAGAGTAGGCAATCTAGGCATATTAACTAAATTAATTAAACATACTTATCACGGCGACGGTGTACTGAGATTATTATTATTATTTTTTCATTATTTTATTTTTTTCATTATCTTTTTTTGTTGCTAGGGGGCCCCTAGTGGCTGCAGGGCCCTAAGCGGCCGCTTATGTCGCTTAATGGGTCGGGCCGGCTCTGGTCTTAAGCACATGAAAACTGCTGAGAAGTCCGAGGTGAGAGCCACAGGACAACGTGGTGTGTATTTAGGTCTCACACACACGTTCTCTGATACTTTGGCTTCTTATTTTGAATGTTTTCTCATAATAAATGTCCTAGAAGTTTGGAACAATTTGTGTTTGATAAGCACATACTGTATAACCGATGGTGTTGGTCACATGCTGCTCTGTAAGTGCGATGTGGCCATACTGAGATGTGGCCTGGTGTGTGTGTGTGTGTGTGTGTGTGTGTGTGTGTGTGTGTGTGTGTGTGTGTGTGTGTGTGTGTGTGTGTGTGTGTGTGTGTGTGTGTGTGTGTGTGTGTGTGTGTCAGTGGGGTTAGAAGGTCTGCTGAGAGGTGGGGAATGGCGAGGGGATATTTGGCAGCGTGCTGCGATACAGTGCTGACACAAGACACTGCGTCTTCATGCAACTCGAGGTGCAAGAGGGATTCTGGGAGCCAATATTTACAGGGTGACACCGGCCATGTTTACCCATCAACATCATAATGTGATTAGGTGAAAAATACAAGTAAGGCGGATCATATTAAATATACATCCAGGTCAAAATAAAGAACACCTTTTTTTGACAGCAGTGGTTTGTGGCATTCTCGCCCATATTGATCATACGCATGACATCTCTCTACTTTTCCTGTTTTTACTATCAAAATTAAATCCGATGTTGGTAACCTTACTAGCAATTTCCCCAGTAACCAGATTATGCGGCGTTTAACTAGCAAAAGTCGAGTGCGATTGATCCTTGCATTTTAGACAATGATCTATGGATAATTTATATAGGACCCATCGTGTTTCATTTCATTCATATTCTGTTGTTGTTGATTTTGTAAATGCAGTCAATTATTGTTTTGGATTTGTGTTCTGCAGTTGGATTTGATTTGTATTATTAATAAAAGGGGGACGATCAGAGGAAATTCTTCTAAAACTTTGGCTCAAAATCTCCAGGGGGTTTAAAATAAATAAATTAATGTATCTTTTGCAGAAGCAATGATGACTGTGCAAAGATCCCTTTGAACCAAAGCTCTAAGAATAATGTGTTCTAACCTCAACCAAAGCTAATGAGGTTACAGAAGTCCTACTTTGAAAAATAGTTTATCTTACAAAACTACAGTCTTCAGTACATATTTCTCTTTTCACCAACTTTGTTTATTTGTCCGTTCAAACTGACAAATCAATTTCATTATTTCACCTTTTATTTAGTATTATAAAATGTCTTATATGTGTTATAAAAGTAACAAAAAGAGGATCTGATATATCTTATTATTGCATGAGATGTGTCCACTATTCAGATAGATAAATCAAGCACACATCAAAGCAGTTCAAATATTTAAAACCCTATTCATGTTCTGTATATTTTGCCTGCTGGTGTGGGAGCCAGGACCACAGAGGGCAGTGCGGTGAGGTGAACCTGGGAAAGCCTGCAACAGCTGTGAGAAACCATCAGATCTGCCATTCCTCACACTTCAACAGCCAACAAGAAAGCGATTTATGACGGCCGAAGAGGGAGAGAACGAGACGGAGGGAAAGAAGGACGGGGGAAATGGACGAACAGGGTGAGAAGGAGACATAAACAGAGAGAAAGAATGAAATAAACAGAGAGAGGAGTAAAGACAGAGGAGCTGAAAGGAGATGTGATAAAGCAAGCTAAATGAAAGAGAGAAAAAAGATAAATAAACAGAGAAAAGGGAGAAAGAGTTGGACAGACAGGAGACACAAGAGAGAACAAGATGGCTGACTGGGATAGAGTAATAGTGAGAGGTGGTGATGTTTGGAGATAGAGAGCAAGATGACATACCCTATCATTTAAATATGTAAAGTGCTTAAGATGCATGTGTATGACTCGGTTTTCTAATTTTCCACAAAACACACAAAGGGATAGACTGCTTGATCAACACTGCGGCATTCATTGAGAGACACAAAAACTCAAGACTCTGAAACACACATCAGCTGTGAGGTCATTGAACAGGAACAGCTGAGAGAAGTGCGGGTCCAAAACGAGGGCCAGGTAGCCTAATGAAATATTATGATATAAGATAATACTTCCACGTGCTTTGTCTTAAGATATCACTGTGGCAAACTACTGCCCTTACGTACTTTTGTAGTCAATCCCGTAAATTAAAGTAAAAAGATAATGGTATAAACGCTTAAAACAAACTACGCCATGGTTGCAAGATATCAACGTCACCAAAACTGAGTAGAAGGGGTTACCTGTTTACCGGAATGACAATTAATGTCCACTTCCACCATATCTAGTCTCATTTAGCCAGTTTTTAGCATCTGCCTTTTTTTAGAGACGTTAAGCTGCCTTCATATGACAAGCGGTAAAACGGCTCTGTGCTGACTTTTTCATTGCGTTCCAATGGAGAGAGCGGTGTCGCCGTTTATCGCTCTGAATTGTTGCAGAGCACTACGCTCAAAGTTTAAATTGCATCAACTTTGACCTACCGCTGACCTTTCGATGCAAAACCAATCAGATGACAGCTACACAGTATGTAGCGCTGCAAGCTAGCAGGGCAGGTAACCATAGAAAAGGAACTCAACTGACTTTTTTCACAACAAGGCTCTGCGTCTAACCTCGCAGTAAGCAAAGGGATAATTCTGTATCATGTGAATGCAGTTTTTCGAAAAATACTGAATGATGCTCCAAGCCTTCACCCTTGCAGGTGTGGTTGACCCTGTGTCCTCCAGGTGAGGAACAGACTCCCTACACACTGATCCAACCTGCTGCTCCAACAAATTAAAGATATTTCCTTCTACACCTCCGCACATACACACTTCCTGCTGTCTTGTTCTCGATTTCTGTCTGCTTGTCTTGACTGCGGTGGGTTGGTGGTGTGGAAAGCTTAGTTTATTTGGACTTTTAATACAAGCTGACCCCTGTCCCCTGGTGTGTGTGTGTGTGTGTGTGTGTGTGTGTGTGTGTGTGTGTGTGTGTGTGTGTGTGTGTGTGTGTGTGTGTGTGTGTGTGTGTGTGTGTGTGTGTGTGTGTGTGTATGGGTCCAGAGAGCACTCTCCCATGAAAACTACGCCAACGACCCAGAGACGGTGTCGACAGAGGACCACACCACACGGGGTGATCACACACATTAACCATGACACATACACACAAATACACTCTAACACATATACACACATATATCTCACAGAAAAGTATAGCACATAGGAGAATATATGTGTGTGTATGTGTGTGTGTTTATGTGTGTTTTGGCCTTGAGGAAATCTTCAGCATGTGTTAGATGAATCCCCGGGGCTCTAACTCAACTCTGATTGGCTGGCCGTCTTGCTTTGTTTGTTTCCACAGCGACAGAGCTGTCACTGCCTCCTACCACCCAGGTAGAGCTGTCAATCACTCTGGCTGCGAGCCAACCACACATAGGCCTTGCTGCGACCAATCACAACTCAGACCCTTTTGGCGATTTCAACCAAGTACTATCGTCTGATAATCATAGATAGGAATTAAAATGAAATAATCATCATTAGAATTTAAATTACTTTCAAAACAAATAAATACAACATGTACTGCTTCATGTTGGAAACACCAATGGTTTCAAGGATGAATTATTCTAGAACTAAAAATAAAAAAAGCTGCCGTTTAATCTCAATTTGGCCTATGCTGGAAAAAAACTGGGCAAGTCAAGTTCTTTAAATGCAACCTTTCATTTGGTTCAATCTGCGTTTCGTCATACCGTAATCACTGTAATTATACGTCATGCCATTTTATTTATTACATTAATAGTACAGAGGTTAAAATCATAATCCATCTTTAAAAGCTGACTTCATCTTTTGCCTAAAAATAAAGAATCTCAAATCAAAGGGCGGTTCATTGTGAGAAGTACATGTATGGGGACTTTTTCATACAGTAAATATAAAAAAATGGAAAGTATAGTGTAAGGGGTGGAAATCACATTCAAGATAATGTGTTCAATAAGTATTTCTAAGTAAATAATTGCATTCCAAAAGGCGTAATTAAATAAACATCTATCCTTTGATAATCAGTTTACACCATCAGCACTGTGCATTTCTCATCACACAGTAGTCATTAACACCAATTATGACCTTATTGCACAGAGATGTGATAGTGCCAGGTTGTTCTCATATATATTGTGCATGATTGCTATTTGGCATGGTTCACTAAAGCATTTTAATGGAGCACAGCTATTGTTAATATTATTAAATAAATCGATTGTTCAGCAGCTTATTACGATCTATAGTCACGTTTTAAAGTTTAGCACCTCTAATGGTCGTGTAAGAAAAAACAATTTGCAGCAAATGGGCTGATGCTCCCGTTGATTGCAAACGCTCCGGAGGGTCGTATATTCACAAATAACTCTCTCCGGAAAATCCTATATTGGAGAATAGTTTGGCCATTAAAATGCTTTTTGATTTGATTTCTAGCGAGAAGTGTATATTGTACTTTTAGAATCCACGTCCAGTGGATGTGTAGGATCTATAGTTTGATAGATATTACGAAGATGATTTGAGGTCTCGCCAGGAGAACAGTACATACTACGTCTTTCCCCCTATTAATTTCTATTGACGGCAGTGTAAAGTTGGCGTCAACCCTCACGCAGCGTCCACACGGCGGCGTGCGTTGAAGCTTGCCAGTGAGCTTGTCTGAAACTCGACCAACAACCAATCACATGAATCTCCCGCCCCGGACACACAAGCACGCGGTTTGATTGGCTAGAGCTTGTACTGGCATTTGATTTGATTGGCTGACGCTTCCGCCGAAGCTTCAAAAGTTGAACATTGCTCAACTTTTGAAGCGAGCAAAGCAAAGCAACAAAAGCCTTTGACAAGTCAATAAAAAGAGCAGAGCATTGCGCAGCCCTTTTTATTGACTTCAAAGGCTTTGGACACAGTGGATCATGCCTTACTGTTACAAAGACTTGTTAGTGTCGGTCTTTGAGGTAAGGCTNCCCCACCATCACACTTCCTCCTCCATGCTTCACGGGGGGAACCACTCATGCAGAAACCATCCGCTCACCTTCTCTGCGTCTCACAAAGACACGGCGGTTGGAACCACAAATCTCAAATTTGGACTCATCAGAGCAAAGTACAGATTTCCACTGATCTAATGTCCATTCCTTTTGTTTCTTGGCCCAAACAATTCTCTTCTTCTTGTTGTCCATCCTCAGTAGTGGACCTTTGCAGCGATTGGACCATTAAGGCCTGATTCACGCAGTCTCCTCTGAACAGTGGATGTTGAGATTTGTCTGCTACTTGAGCTCTGTGATCATTGATGTGGGCTCTAGGCTGAGGTGCTTTAATTTGTGCTTTCTGAGGCTGGTAACTCTGATGTATTTATCCTCTGCAGCAGAGGTAACTCTTGCTCTTCCTTTTTCCCGGGGGGGTGGGGGGGGTCCTCATGAGAGCCAGTTTCATCATAGCGTTCGATGGTTATTGCGACTGCAGTTGAGGATACATTCAAAGTTCTTGACATTTTCCGGATCAACTGGCCTTCCTTTCTTAAAGTGATGATGGACGGTCGCTTCTCTTTACTGAGATGACTGGTTCTTGCCATAATATGGATTACAACAGTTGTCAGGGCTTTCCACTGTTCACTAACCGTACCTCTGCACAACACAACTGATGCTCTCAGACACATTCAGAAGGCAAGTCATTCCACAAATGGACTCTTGACAAGGCACACATGTTCATTGAAAACCATTCCAGGTGATGACCTCATGAAGCTGACTGAGAGAAGCCAAGAGTGTGCAAAGCTGTCATCAAGGAAAAACGGGGCTACTCTGAAGATTTTTTTTTTAACTAGATAAATCCATAATGTGTTCTTTCATAGTTTTGATGTCTTCAGTATTAATCTACAAAGTAGAAACAAATTCAAATAAACANTTTTAACACTATTTTGTTAACTAGATAAATCCATAATGTGTTCTTTCATAGTTTTGATGTCTTCAGTATTAATCTACAAAGTAGAAACAAATTCAAATAAACAAAAACCGTTGAAAAGGTGTGTCAAAGCTTTTGACTGGGGAAATACGTATGTGTATGTGAAATACTGTTCAAGTATATTTGCCAGTGATGAATGTGTTGTTAAGCCGGCGTCATTATGACAAGTCTTCTGTCTGTCAGCCTATTCTCTTTAACACCAAATCTCGGGGAAGCCTTTGAGGGAATCTCTTTACATTTGGCTCAAATGTCCACATGAACCACAGGAAGAATGAATTGATTAGCTATTGGTGGTCAAAGGTTAAAGTCACATTTCTATAAGGTTTAATATGACAATGTCATTCAAATGTAACAGGATAAGAGGATGAAGCAAAGACATTTTAGACAGACATGGATGCAAAGCAACTTGACTGCTTTGTGGGGGGATACGGCGGTAGTTGTACTTTATGGGAATAAACTGATGTCAGTGATGTGCCTCCAGCAGATGCTGTGACCCTCCACCTGACCTCCATGACCTCTGGATACCTGAGCCCCTCCTCAGACAGAATACGACAGGTTAGTATGGATACCTTTAATGCACAACCTGTCAGGGTACCATGTATACTTGATCGTCATCTTTCACAGAAACTTCCTTTAAAAAAGAAAAGTAACAGAAGTCAGAATAATGTTACATGAGTATCAAATAAAGCTTAGTTTCAGTTTTTGAATTCACCCACATTTTAAACTATTGTCCACATTTATGCGGACATAATTAGCATAATATGTTAGCATAACAACTTGTGCTAACATCCGGCAGTTTCTATGTGCGGGGGACCGGTACTATACATTTCTATCCCTAAACGTGAGGGTACTTCCCAGGTTCACTATCCCGGCAACTGGACTACAAGGTTAGCAGTGGGAACAGAGAAGATAATTAGATAATTCCAGTCCGTCCAATCCTCAGGAGAGAAATGAATGCATCCCTCCAGGCGAGTATCCTGATTCTGTGTGTGGAGCCTTGATGTTCGTCAGTGTGCAATATGTGTTCTGTTGAGACATGTTTAACTGGCAGAAGTCAATGAAAACACATCAGCTCCACAGTGTGAGGCTCAAAACACAAACCTGCAGCAAGCAAACTCTGAAACACAGAACAGACCCGATGTAGAGTGACGTGTTGGGGAGTGACGGATTACCATTAACCAGATTACGTAATCATTAACCAGATTACGTAATCAGCAAATCAGCAAAAGGTAACTGCATTCAATTAAAATTACAATAGTAAATAAGTAGTCAGATTACGCTTACACTTTTTTTAAATAGAGATGAATAGCAGGATGACGGTGTTACAAAACATTTTGAAATAAAGATCAATATATTACAGGTAGAAGTACTGTGTGTGTTTAACTTCACTATAGTGTACTTTAGAGCTTTGTACTGCACAGCATTTGGCTCGACAGGTTCTCCCCCATTGGCTCGGCTGTGGCACACAAACTGTTCCATTAAACCTGAGTACTAAACAGTTAGAGTAGTACCAGAGTAGATGGTGAATGGAATGAAAGCCAAAGAGAACTATCATGAGTTGTTCAGTAAACCCACACAATCCTATGATCTTGGTCTAAACCTGTCACTCTCAATACAACATGCAATTATGTATTATCCGTTTCATTTCATACTGAATTTTATAATCACTCTCCATCTTTCAGATTAACAGACAAATGGTGGGCGTATTTACTGATAAATATTCAATTTTTGTCTTGTTTCATATAAACCCATACAGTATGTCATGAGAATACTGAGCAATAGAGCAGGGTTACGACCTCAGATTCATCCTGTCAGACTGTGTTGGGGGATAAATGTGTCACTGTTACAGCAAGCTCCGTGTTCCGTGTAAGATCTTAGAGCTTTAGAAACATAATCGTCCCTAATGTGGAACATGGTCTTTGGCTTCACCTCATTTGTTATGAAAACGTGAAACAATAGTAAGAAACAGTCAAAACATTGGAACATGTTGGAGTTCAATCATTTGTAATAATACAGTTCAGTTCCATCGCTTTCTTTGACAATCACTTTTTGTTTGTCTGCCTAGATCCTGAACAACTCGAGCTGGAAAGCGTGTTGTGTTTCTATGACAACCAGGAACTATGCATTTTTAAGTAGTAGCTGTGGCAGAAGTTCATATCCAACAAAGTGTTAAATACTGTGATTTTCCTCCTGTTTCCGTATATTTGAAAACATAACCAATGTGACTTAGGCATTATCAAACTATCCAATAAATGATCAGTCACACAGTACAAGGTTTTCATTGTGTTCATTTTGTTGCCATGTTTGACTTTGTGCAGCTGTCTTTACATTGGATGTGATGTAATTCAAAGTCATTATTTGTCTTTCTTTGTGTTGTAGCCAGTTCAAGATGGAGTCGAAGAATGCAACTGCCCAACATCTACTTCACCAGGTACACACATTCATATTAAATAGGAACATCATGACTAAAGTCACTCATTTCTGGGAGATCCATAACGCTTTTTCTCCTAAAGAAAGACTTTGCAATTCCACAGTTGTTAACTGCTTGAGAGAATACTTATGCCTGCTATGACAGAGGTGGGAAAAGTACTCGCATCTTGTACTTGAGTAAAAGTAGAAGTACCAGAGTGTAGGAATACTCTGTTACAAGTAAAAGTACACCATTTACCTCTGAACTGTAGTGGAGTAGAAGTACAAAGTAGCAAAACATTGAAATACTCCAGGAAAGTACAAGTCTCTCAACATTTAAAGTTTACTCAAGTACTTGAGTAAATGTACTTAGTTACTTTACACCACTGCCAAATAATGACATCATTACTCAGGAATTAGCCAATCAAATTGCAGTGGGGCAACAGATAATTTATTGCTGACACCTTTGGGCATTCAATTGTAGGATATTGATATATAATAACAACATCAACCAAATCATCATACATAATTCAGAATGATATGAACTTAATAAGTCAATCAGCACAACTATAACCCACCTTGTGCATCTGCCACTTGCCCAATTTGAAACATTGCCTCTGAATAGGAAGGTGTTTATATGGCTGCACCTGACAAATGTTAACATTATAAATATTTATTGTGAAAGTTGACAATATTGACACATGGGGGATATGGAGAAGGGTCAGAGTATGCCCCTTGGAATCTTGTCATTTGCAATGAAGACTTTCTCTAACTCAATTTTCCTTGTCTATCTCTGAGCGTAGACTTCCCCAAAGAGCTGCAGTTACTGCACAGCCCTTGTGAAAAGTGCTGCTGCCCAGCCCCCCCTCCCAAGATAAGTGACCTCATGAACGACAAAGACCTCCTGGATCTACTGCGGCTCAAGCTGGATCCAAACCACTGCACCATCAAAAACTGGAAGAACTTTGCTAGTCGCTGGGGGATGAGCTACGATGAACTGACCCTGCTGGAGCACCGGACCCAGGGCTCCCTGTCCCACAGCCCCACCCAGGAGTTCCTGCTGCGCTACAACCAGAAGACTGTCACGGAGCTCTCGGAGCTCTGCCGCCTGTACCAGCGCATCGACGTGCTGCGGCTGCTGCAGCGCTGGATGGAGAAGGACTGGCCCTCACGCTGGCAACAGGCTCATTAGCCAGTGGGATTTCCTCTTCTTTATCATATTTGTTATCATTAGTAACTTTAGCAAGTGATCTTAAGAATCTTGAGAATGATTAAAAAAGTGACCAACACTGTCAACTACCTGTGGAGAATGTCAGCTGCGATGAGAAATCTCTGGATCTTACCGACAGTAAAGCACTTCAAAGACTGACTACTGATGACCAGTTTGGCTTTTGAAACATGTGTTGCTGTGTCAGCAACATGGCCAATCAGTCTGTTGCTCTGTAGGGTGCACCACACATTTGGTCAAACTTGGTGATCCCCAATTTCTTTCTTTAGCGATATCATCATATCAAATGTGTTCATACTTTGCTTTAAGTTAAAATTCCTATGCAACTTACATTCCCTACATTATCACAGTTATTATGCTTGTGTGCTTATAAGCAAAGGTTAGCACGCTAACAAACCCATTTCAGATGATGAACACAAATAAATAAATCAAAGTAAATATTATCCTGCTAAACAGATAGCATGTTAGCAAGGTCATCACATGAATGTTAGCATGCTGAAGTTAGCATTGAGCTCAAAGCCTGTTGTGCCTAAGTTCAGCCTCAAAGAGAAGCTGGCCCGGCTGAGCACTCTGATGTGTGTCTGACTTTATGTGTCTACATAAACTCAGAAGGAATGGCAGAGTATTTATTTTGTTTAATATATGTTGTTCTTTGGAAATAACACTCCATTTTAACAGGATCTATGTCACAACCTTTGAGAAATAATCGTATGGGCTCTGTCTCGTTTACCGTTATTCCATTGGTGGAATGGAGCTATGTGAACGATTTCTCTACGATTGAAAAGTTGTATCACTCGCATCAATAATTATTATTTCATAAATGTCATCCTATTTTTGGTCTAATCCAAACAATGTTCTCAAACCTTTTAATTGTAAAAAGTGTGAACTAAAACAACAGTTGAAAGTGTTCATGCTAACATCAACGGCCTTTGGCATTTAGTTTGTTCTTTTTTAAGAAACAACTGATTTCTTATTGTACTTTTTTTTCAGTATGAAATAAACACATATCAAACTCTTTAAAAGCTTTATTCATTATTAAAGTAAATATTATGTAAATACATAAAGTTACACCAACCTTTTGGGTTTTAACTAGGAATAATATGTTTTGTCTTATTCAAAAAGTTGATGTTATGACAACATCTTAGTTTCCAAATAATAGAAAGCAGAAAGCTTCCTGGAAAGAACTATGCAGTGAGGTATTCACTATAGTGAAAATGGGAACAGTGTTCTTATTTATTATATTGAGTTTTTTTATTCAACAAACAAAGAACAAATACATTCACTCACAATTCTATTATCATCTAAAGATGAATGCACTTCTCAGAAACAGCTCAATGTGATCACATAAGTAACATACTTCAACATCAACAATCTTTAGAAAAAAAAAACGCTTATATAAATAACAGGAATATACACATAGTTAATAAACACACGTTTCTTGAATAGGCTACATAAAGTTATGCCATAAGAAGGATAATGTAGCTTGCATTATCTGTGGTCAATTATAGGCAAATATTTGGTTAAGTTGGATATGTTTACAAAGTTTCTGGACTGTAGCTTTTCTTATAGCCTGGCAGGAATCATTCAGCCTCTGAATGCTTGATATTAAGGCCAAGCATGTTGGAGAGGCTCAATGACAATTTGTCATTTTCATCGGATGTGGAAATTTCAGGGGCCACTAGGCCCAGTGCAGACTCTGGCTTTTCTACTTTGAAGGTACCTCCTCTCATCAAAGAGGAATCTGCTTCTGTTGAGGCACTGACATCCAGACTTGGGGCAGCTAGATTCAGATCAATATCAGCCTTCCCTTCGCTCGGTGAGATGCTAGCTGATGGTGTTTTATTTTTTGCCATTTTTAGTCTCTCCATGATGTCAACCTTTTCTCCTGCTTTTGATGTTGCATTTACTATTGGCAAGCGAATCCCTTTGCTGACTACATAATCCTTTGCCTCACTATCTAGTTTTGATAAGTTGAAGGTATCACCAATTCCTCCAATAGCATCAATGCTGTTCCGGGGCAGTCTATGGGTTTTGAATACAGGCATCTCCATCTCTGCATTAGGCACGTCAGTCTCAGAGTCAGTTCCGTTTCCCTCTTCATCGGTACTTGAACCAGACTTTAATCCCCATTTAAAGGGCCATCTAAGCTTACTCTTTGGAGACCCTTTAACTTCAGCCCCTGCTTCAGCTGTGGTATCCAGTTCAGGTGTGCTGAAGCCTGACCTCACTTCAGGAACAGAGACATTTCCATTAGGTGAACTGATGCCTCCTTCTACAGTGGGAGCTTTGACCTTCACATCAGGTGAGACGTCAAGGTCTGCATTGGTGTGGTCTTTTATTTTAGGCCCTGAAAAGTTAAAATTCTGGAACAATTTGGACAACTTGGACTGTTCAAGATTGGCATCTACATTTGGAGCTTCGGGTCCTTTGATATCCACAACAGGAGTGTCAATGTTGACTTTTGGTGCCTCGATTCCAGCCTCCACTGAAGGTTGAATACTTGGAACTCTTACCTCAGGACTTGGAAGACCAACATTTGGCAAGTTATAATGAGGCATATTAAATTCACCCACATGGGAATCAAAACCTATACCTGGTGTTTTTAACTGTGCATCAGGTACTTTGAGGTCTGCTTTGGGCAGGTTGAGGTCCACATTTGGCAATCCTGTGTCTATGTTTGGTGCTGAGAGGTTTCCATCAATATTTTGTGAGGGCAGGCTGATATGTGGTGCATTCAGGTTCAGGTCAGGTACATAAAGGTCTGCCTTTGGTAGATCCATGCTTGGTCCCTTTAGATCAGCTTTGGGCAAGTTAAGATTCACCTGGGAAGCTTTAATATCTGGGGTAGAAAGGTCTGGTACGCTGATGGTGGTCTGTGGGCCTGAAAGGTCAATATCTGTCTTAAGTGAAGAACCCACATCTAGATCTGGAGTACTGAGGTCTCCTTTGACAGTGGGTGCAGAGAAATTCAGGTTAGGTACGTTGGCATCAAGATTAAGATCAGGTTCTTTTACCCTCAGCCCTGATGAACCAAACTTCGGTAAATCTATTTTGGGGAACCTGATTTTTCCAGCTATGGCATCAAGCTCTGAAGCTTGAAGGTCTACAGCACGACCTTTCAGATCAGTTTTTGGCAAATGAATGTCAAAATCTGGTGAGTCTATCCCAGCCTCCATTTTTGGGGTTGAAAAGTCTGGTGCAATCAAATCCACCTTAGGTGTCTGGAGGTCAACGTCTGGTACCTTCATATCAGCATCAATTCCACCCTTCCAACCATTCAGTGTGCCCACTTTGGGTTTCTTGAAGTTAAACCATTTCCCTTTTCCAGAAGGACCTTCAACATCTGGACCATCAATGTATAACTTGGGGCCCTCCAGGTCAGCATTTGGTAAAGTTAGATTAACATCTGGCGCATTTATTTCACCATCAAATTTTGGAGACTTGAGATTCAAATCAGGGGCTGAAATATCAGCATCTGCATCTAGACCATTAACCTTAGGACCTGCGAGGGACCACTTTGGATTTTTAAGAGTAGGAAATTTCCCCTTCCAAGATTGACCCTGAATGCCTACATTTGGTGCATTAACATCAACACCAGCGTTGGGTAAATTCAGATCAACATCAGGCCCATCAAGGGATGCCTGAGGAGAAAGACTCAGGTCAGGTGCTTTAACATTACCATCAACATCAACATCTGTGCCTTTCACCTTTGGCCCATGAAGCAGGAACTTGGGCTTTTTGAGTGTTGGAAATTTGAATTTGCCATGAGGGGGCTCAAGGTCAGCACCTGGTGCTGTAACATCAACATCAGCTCTGGGCAAATTCAGATCAACATCTGGTGTGGAAATATCCCCATCAATTTTTGGAACAGAGAGATCAACATCTGGGGTGCTTAGATCTGCATTCAGGTCCATATCAGCTTTGGGGCCATTAAGTTTTTGTTTCTTCCATTTCAAATGAGGCCATTTAATATGATGGTCTTTAGCATCCATGTCAAGATTGGGGGCCTGAAAATCTACATTGGGGCCATTAATGTCAGCTCCTGGAAGATTCAGCTCAGCATTTGGTACATTAAGGTCACCATCAATCGTTGGCGTCGACACATTCAATTCTGGTGTGTTTAGGTCTGCATCAATGTCTGCTTTTGGTCCTTTGAGTTTGGGTAGCTTCCATTTCTGGTGAGGCCATTGGGCTTTACTGGAATTCAGATTTAGATCAAGGTTTCCAACGTCAGCCTCTGGCAAATTTATGTCAACATCTGGGCCATTTATTCCACCCTCCACTTTTGGAAGGGAGGCATCAATATTTGGTGTGTTCAGGTTTGCTTCTAAGTCCAGATCAGTCTTTGGGTCATTAAGTCTAGGTTTCTTCCATTTTAAATGTGGCCACTTGGGTTGAACAGGTCGGGCATCAATGTCAAGATTTGGGCTTTGAAGATCTAAAGCAGGGATGTTTAGATCTGCATCAATCTTTGGCTTGTTGAGGCTTACATCAGGTGCAGACAGGTCAGCATTTAAGTCAGCATCTGGTCCTTTAACCTTGGGACCTTTCCATTTAAGATGGGGCCACTTGATTTTGCCTGAGGGTGCCTCAAAATCAGCATTTGGGGTTTCTAAGTTTACATCAGGGCCATTGAGATTCACTTTTGGCCCATTCAGATCCAAACCTGGACTATTAAGATCTAATCTTGGGGCTGATAGATTGGGGTCTGGTGTCGCTACATTTCCAGAAGGGAGATCTACATCACCAGAAACATCCATTTTTGCTTGAGGCGTTTTGAGGTGAGGCAGATTAAAGTGTGGCATCATGAATTTTGGTGCCTTGTACTTCTGGTTGCCTGTCTTGAGTTCCGGTTTCTCAATGTCCAGCGAGGCATTGGGGGTGTTGAGCTTTGGAGTTGAGACACTGATATCAGGTGCTTTGAGGGTGCCATCAAGATCTCCATTTACATCAGGTCCAGAGAGTCCAAAGGAGGGCATTGTGAACTTGGCACCACCATCAGCTGAAGGCTCATTTAGACCTAAACTGGGAAGACCTCCATTGAGAGTAGGACCACCTATTTCCCCCCCTAACCCCTTTGAAGCATTTAGCTTTCCCCTCAGGTCATTAACGGAAAAAGCTGCTGCATCCAGTGACCGATCTTCCTTTAGGTTTAGCATCTGTTGGTGATGGAGTGAAAAACAAACAAGGTTGACAAGCAGCTCATGCGTCAGTTATCAGTTATATTAAGCTCTAATACTGTTTTTATTAACACTCGGCTAATAAAGAAAAACCCTGTCGCTAGCTGCTGCTACTACGAAATATAAAAATGTGCATTTAAAGCAGCTGTTTTGGGTTGTAGTTCCCAGTGTGAATAACTCTCATCAGTGGAGAATGACTTTGACCTAACACAATGTCACATCTAGAGGAGAGTGTTTGTTTTTCATCAGGGTGTGACCAACCCCTGTGAGGTGTACCTTTGAAGAGTCATCAAGATCTAATCCCAAGGAGCCAAGGCCAGCACCGGCGCTGAGCTGCTTCTTCGTCAGAACCATCATGTTGTCATCATATGGCTCCAGGGCCTGCAGGAATCTTAGCACTTCATCTTTGTTGAGGTGGTCCAGGTGTATCGTGGCTGCTACTATCTCATCCCCTGGAACCAGTAGAAACAACTCATCAATACCATCAAGTTTCACTATTTTCCTTCAATCTTTTGTTTTGCAGATATTGGTGTAGTTTCCAAAACGGCAGTAAGAAGATATACTTGTTTTTCTCTTACCTGCTCGTAGGCCACTCTTTGCAGCTGTGTCATCTGTGATTCCTGTAATGACAACTCCTTGCTCAGAGTTGTCTAGGACGAGGCTTTCGGAGAATGTTCTACTTTTGCTGTCCTCACTCTGTTCAAAAGTTGTTTACAGTAAACAAAATGAGACAGGTTTGCACTATTTTCACACATCGGCACTATTTAGCACATCAAAAAAGTCATTTTGTCATAAAGACATTTGCTATCACATATAATATTAAGCAGGTTTATATTGTCATT